GAATGTTGTCAGATTCTTTTTCTGCATCTATTGAGATGATCATGTAATTTTTATCCCTCATTTTGTTATGTAGTGTGTCACATTAATTTATTTTTATATGTTAAAACATCCTTGCATCCCAGGGATAACTTCCACTTGGTTATTGTATATGATCCTATTAGTGAGCTATTGAATTTGGTTTGCTAGTATTTCACTGAGGATTTTTGCACTATGTTCATCAGGAATATTGGTCTGTATACCTTCTTGTAGTGTCCTTGTCTGGCTTTGGTATCAGGGTAATAATGGCTTCATAAAATAAGTTTAGAGGTATTCCCCTTTCAGTTTTTTGGAATAATTTAAGAAGGATTAGAGTTAATTCTTCTTTAAATGGTTGGTAGAACTCATTAGTGAAGCTGTCAGGTCCTTTGCTTTTCTTTGTTAGGAGGTTTTGGATTACCTAATCAATTTCCTTACCAGTTATAAATCTGTTTAGATTTTTCTGTTTCTTCATGATTCACTCTTGGTAGGTTGTATGTTTATATAAATTTATGCATTTCTTCTTGGTTATCCAATTTGTTGGTGTATAATTTTTTTAATAGTCTCTTAAGATTCTTCTTATTTCTGTGGCATCAATTGTAATGTCTTCTCTTACATTTTTATTTTATTTGAATCTTCTCTCTTCTTTTTCAGTCTAACTAAAAGTTTGTCAATTTAGCTTATGTTTTCAAAACTTAGTTTTGTTTATTTTATGCTATTTTCTACTCTATGTTTTATTTATTTCTGCTCTAATATTTATTATTTCCTTCTTTCTACTAAATTTGGACTTCATTTGTTCTTTTTTTCTAGTTCTTTGAGATGTGAAGTTATGTTTTTTGAGATCCTCTTTTTGAATTTAGGCATTTATTGCTATAAACTTCCCTATTAGTACTGCTTTTGCTCACTCTATGAATTTTGATATGTTGTGTTTTTGTGTTTATATCTCAAAACATTTTCTAATGTCCCTTTTGATTTCTTTGACCAATTTGTTGCTCAAGAATATGATGTTTAATTTCCATATATTGTTGAATGTTCTAGTTTCGCATCTGCTATTTATTTCTAGTGTTATTCCATTCTCATTAGAAAAAATACATGGTATGATTTCACTTTCTTAAATTTGTCGAGACTTGTTTTGTGGTCGGGCATGGTGGCTCACACCTGTAATCTCAGCACTTTAGGAGGCTGAGGTGGGAATGCTTGAGGTCAAGAGTTTGAGACCAGTCTGGGTAATAGTGAGACTCTTTCTCCACAAAAAATAAAAATATTGGCCCAGTGGGGTGGTGTGCATATATCTGTAGTCTCAGCTACTCAGGAGGCTGAGATGGGATGATCGCTTGAGTCCAGGAGTTTGAGGCTGCAGTGAGTCATGACGGTGTCATTGCACTCCAGCCTGGACAACACAGTGACATCCTGTCTCAAAAAATGAAACAATGAAAACTTCCCTCTTTGTTCTCAGTGACCCTATGCATCAGGAATACACTGGGTCCTATCAGTGATCCTTGACAAGTGTGATGGAAGCCAGTCTCTCAGGCAGCCTGTGGAAAAGCTAGAATGTTGGATGTAATGTCCAACTCTTTCCCTCCCCAGGGAGAGGCTGAAACTGGGGCTTTCCTCTCATTTATGGTTCACTGTGCTGGGGGTAGGAAGATGTCACAAACCCTCCTGTCATCTTTGATGTGGCTGGTTGCTTGCTCATTCAACGTACTGGAGACTCTGAACCAGTTACTGGATTTTTCACAAGTGAATTGATTTATTTATTGCTATTGAATTGGTGTGTCCATTGGGGAAAAGAGGGTCCAGGGATTTCTGTTCTGCTATCTTGCTGATGCCATACCTTTCAGGGACAGAATTCTTACTGTTCTCCTCATGGGCTTCTTTGCTTGCCCTTCACCAGAGCTGACCTCCTCCTGGGCATCTAGTTGAATGCGGTGTTCACTGTGGGCATGGTGGTGCTGCCTGACTGCCAGTATGCTGCCCTGCAATGACAGCCCAATCATA